ACTGAATAATGTCTGTGATATACTTTGAGCATCCAAAAGCTCTGTATAAGTATGAACTTGCCCAGTTTTTATTTGAAATTTTGACTGTCACAACATTACCAAGTTCAGCTTCTTTAAAAAGTTGGATGAGTCACAGGGTCTCTGGAACATAGTAATAGTTTGCTTGGAGTGAATCACAAGTTGGGTGAATGCTGTTATCCAGCTTCGTTGTATAGATTTGAGAGTGTCCTAATGCTTAAGCACTCATCACATTTTTTTCTGATTTATGGGTGTGCTGATTTGCTGTGATTAACAAAATATCAGAATGTGGGCCTTGAGTGCTCTAACCCAAATCAAGTGCTAGATACTTCTTTAATGGCTTTAGAGGATTTTTTTTTGAGCTGTGCTTGTCTTAAAGCATCTCCACATGAGTTGTTGCAATCATTTTCCCATGTTACTAGTAGTTAATTGTTCAGAGTGTGAAAATTATTAACATGGAAGTTATAGGAAAGAAGCTGAAATTGTGCTGTTGGCTTTGAAACCTTGTCTCTAGTTCCGGAATGCCGCTAAATACCCTTTCAGTGGTCTGTGGTTTCAGAGACATTTTATATCTACCTTTTCTCCTTTATAGTGTCTGTGAGTGTTATCTGAGTGAGGAGAGAGAAAGGGATTGATAAGAATTAAAGGATACAGTGTCGTGATGTTTTAAAATTTGTTTGGCTGCCAGGAATTGCAGGTGTCTAGAAGAGTAGTCCCTAGCCTTTTTGAGCCTGTGGGCACCTTTGGAACTCTGACACTGGATGGTGGGTGCAGCCACAAACTGGCTGCAACAAGAGGTGGAGCCACCTATAAAATAGCTGCCACGAAAGGCTGAGCCAGCCACAAAAGCTCAAGGAGTGAGGTCATGCATAGCTCTAAGGGAGTAACTCCTCAACAGTTTAGGCAGAAGTGCTGTTTAACCAGGTGCCTTTTAAAATGAACATTTTGTTTAAAATTTACTTGAATGCACACAGCTTATCTTCAGTTATCCAGTGAAGATCCTTGTGCTATGGTGTCAGCAAAAACAACTTTTGAAAAATCTGCACCATCAGATCTCCAGTGGTTGATCAGAAGCTTTGCTGAGCAAAAGCTCCACTTGGCCTTACCCACTATGGTTTATAGTGCTGTTTGGCAGGGTCTGTATTGTGGAACCCTGGTCTGGAGTATGACATCCATAGTTACTTTGTTGCTCTTGGCCACTGTTTAAGATGGGATATGCTGCTCTAGTTTGCCAGTTTTTCTGTTGCGTGCCTTTGAAGCCACACAAAATTGCAAATTAGTGGTATCCCAGACCTGGAGCTTTCTTTTAATCAGTTTCTTGAAACGGACTAAATTTCAAGAAGTGGTTTTTCTCTAACATGGCTACCCCTGAAGCAGAAGAAAGCATATCACCACATGACTCCAGTGCCATATGAGCTGGCCTTCACCAAGCACCCTGCACTTAGCCATAACTCACAGCTGGTCAATATGCTGCACGTATGAGTGGCATTTGTGGGTGGTTTAGAACTGTGAGCTGGTGTGGCTTTAGGAACATTTTGTTGTGTTCTGTGCATGCTTTTACATGGGGCATTAACTCCCAAATGCTGTGTATATTATATTTCCCAAATGTCTGTCTTGAAGGGAACATGGATGATGCAGTCCAGATAGCAGAGGACCCAGTGTGTCCCTGTTTGCTACACTTCTGCATTGAGGCTTGGGGGAATATTGCATGATTGTTACTGGGCCTTTCTTACACACCATTGTACATGGGGATGCTGCTCACTGCATGTCTACTAAATATACTGATTTCTTGTCAAGGAAAATGTGAGTTAGACTTGGAGACAGAGGGAACTTATGGATCTCTGTTGGGTGATGAAATGGCATTGCACAGAGCAGTTCAATGATTCCTTCAGACAAGCAACAATGTCTGCCCATTCATACTGAGGATAGCAAGATCCTATCTGGCATTCCAAATACAAGTCAAGCCTCCACTGATTTTTATTTTTCTATCGCCCTGGTAGAATGTTATTTCAGGGCATTGCTCCAATACTTCCATTATCTCCGTAAGGAGTGGTGACAGCGCCTCTGTAGGCATCCTGGCAGTATCTGTTGGTGCATTGCAATGAGTGTGCAGTGGGATGAGTAGGGCACAAGTGAATAGACCTCACTTTGCTCCAGTTAAGCTTTCCTGCTGCCTCTTTCTTAAATAGGCAGTGCACTGTCAGAGCCTCACAAACTAGGCCTGGGAGTGATATGGAGTAGAAGAATAGCACTAGTGCACCCTCTTCTGATACAGGACTGCTGAGTACGTTCACACTTTGTCATGCTTGCCAGAATCCGATATGTAACATAGGATGTGAGTCATCCTCTCTTGCCATAGGCATAGGTTTCTATCCCAGCGTTACCCAGTGCCTAACATGACAAGCTACATGTTCTGGGGTGGCTACAGTTCTACTTCCAGCTGTGCTATGCCATGGTAAGTTAATAGCAGTGAACTCCACACCACACGTGCCACAGGCTGAAACACGTAATGAGAATAGGCCTTCAGGCAAGTGTGTCAATAAAATCTGTCTGTTAGCATGATACCAGTTCACAGTAGTCACTAGGCAAGATAACTCATGTTGTCATAGTCCAGTCCAGAACAGAACAGTGTCCTTACGCTTTGCATATGAGTGATTGCTTTGTTAGACCTGGTGCCAGTGTCTCTGGGCTACTGAGGATAACTCACAGCTTTCCTCTTTGTTGGATTGTTGCTGTTCTTGACCTTCTGGCCAACACATGAGCATGTAAGGACTGTTAGAACTGCTGGGTGGTATCTGAACAGTTGACACTATTGCAGTACCTCCACTCCCAGTTCCTGGGACTCCCATGGAAGTGAAGCTGACAGCTGAGGAGTCCACACAAGCTGCCACCAAGATTCCTGAGGTGGCAGGCAAGGGTTCTCAGTCTGAGACAACTCTGGAGCCATCAGGTAGGTTTCATGATAAAACAGCAGGAGGGATTTGGAATCACTGTATTCTACTTAAAAATGAAATGTAAAAGGCTTAGTATGATTGAAGACCCCCAAAATACCAGCTCAGCCTAAAGTGAGACCTTGATAGGTGGAAGGTCTCTGAGGAGTTACGAGAGCCAGTGTGGCTGAAGTGTTGGACTAGAACTGGGGAAACCCAGCAAACCTCCAGGCGCCCATGAAGATTGTTAAGTTGATCTTGGGCCAGTCACTCGTAAGTTTGGGAGATAAAATGAAGGGGGACATTTATGTTGTCCTGACCACTCTGGAGAATGGGTGGGTAAAAATGAGATAGATAGGTACAAAACATACATAACTCAGCACAGAAGGTCCATAATTTCCTTCTGACTGAATATTGTTTGCTAGATTTGCAGCATAAGTATTTTTCTTTCAGCATATTTTCTTTATTTAAAGCATTTCTGTGCTGCCACTCCACCCAAATAGGGTCCCAAGGGCAATGAACATTTCAACATTAAAACAACATTTAAGATATTAAAACAGCATTTAAAATGAAGTATATATAAAATTAAACAATTCAGTAAAAACATGCAAACACAACCAGGGATGAGGACAAATAACAGTAACTGGGAGTATGCCAAGCAAAAGTCTTCACCTGCTGTCAGAAGACAGCAATAGAGACAGATAAATCCGCCTGGGGAGTTAGAAAATTTTAGTGCCTTGACCAAGAAGGCCCTTCTCAGGTTGCCAGCCATCTAGCCACAGATGGTGGAGGAACCTGGAGCTGGGCTGCCAAATGTGACTGAAGTGCACGGATAAGTTCATATGGGAGAAGGCATTCCTTCCAAGTATGCTGGCCATATATGGCTTTAACGATCAATAACAGCACCTTGAATTGAGCCTGGAAACAAATTGGGATCCAATGTAGATGGATCAAGACTGGAATGATGTGGTCCCTTGGCACACTCCAGTCAACATTCTGGCTAAAGTACCAGCTGTAGCTTGCAGACAGTCTTCAAGGCAGAACCACATAGAGCGCATTACCTAGATGTTACCAGGGCATGCACCACAATGGTAAAATTGCTCTGTCCAGGAAAGGCTGCAACTGACTCAGGTACATCTCTAACAGGAGGCCTGGGTCCAGGAGCTACAAACCTGCTCCCTTAGGGGGAGTGCAACCTCATCCAGAACAGGAGATACCCTGTTCTTGGACCAAACCTTCCCCAGGTACCAGTTCACAGTTTCCACAGCCTCCCTGGGATCTGCTAGAAGTGTGAGCTAGAGCTGAGTGTCCTCCACATACCGAGCGCACATCTCCAGGTGACCTCTTCCAGCGGCTTTGCATAGATTTTGAAAAGTGTGAGGGACAAGATAGAAACTTGGGAGACTGTAGGCTAGAGGTCAAGGGCCAGAGCAGCAGTCCCCCAGCACCACATGATGAAGCCTGCCTTCAAGGTAGGGCTGGAACCTCCTTCCCTTTTGTCAGAGCTTCTGTCCTTGCAAAGTAAATAGCAGAGCAAAAAAAAAAAATCCCCTCCGTTAGACACTAGGGAATTTCATTTTGTTGTTGTTGTTGTTTCAAAACAATGATTTCAGGGCTTGCTGGAGATGTCCCTGAGTATACGTTTTATAGTGTGTATTTATAGGAAAGCGATATTGCATGTTTGTAAACCCCCCTAAAATATTTCAGATGAATTAAGGGAAAGGCAGCCATAAAGGTTATAAAGAATTCTTTAAAATACACGTTGAGTTGGAATGACTGTACATTGGATCCTGTCAAAAAATATCCACGTGCATAGGGGCAGAGGCAATTCCCCCTTCTATGGCAGCCCTCTGCCTCCCCCTTCATATATTTCCAGTTGAATGGCCAACACAAAGCTTATGTGGTGATTCCTTTGCCTTATCTCCTAGTCTGTTCAATGGAAATGGGCAGAATCCATACATCTGAATATAGAATTAGGAATTCCAGAATATTTGCTGGATAGCTTCAAGAACAAAATGATATTTCAAGATGGAGTAGATAGGACTTTTTCATAGATTGCAGGGTGTCCTTGTTTTTCCATAGGGCAGAAAAGATTAGCACAGTCTGAACATTTGTTCGCTTTCGCACTTACATTATCTTCCTTCTATTTTTTTTCCTTTGTGCTAATAGCTCACAGACGACTTATGCTGACCCTCTGGGTTTTCAAGGCAAGAGACATTCAGAGGTGGTTTACTATTGCCCACCTCTGCATAGTGACCCTGGTATTCCCTGATGGTCTTCCATTCAAATACTAACCAGGGCCAACCCTGCTTAGCTTCCAAGGTTCTGGAGGTTGACCCAGTCCTGCAGTGAAGCAACACACACGGTCAGGCTATCAGGAGCCTTCATACAGCTGTTATTTCAGATAAACAGGACTGCAGGATGCTCAGTCCCCTCTGAGTCTTTTCTCATGTTGGACTGGGAAACTCATCTGACAGAAAAGTTTTCTGCCCTTGTCTTACAAAGACAATCCCAATAAAAAGCATGGCTCTCAACATGTATTATCATTTCAAAAGCAAGGATTGAAGATTTCACACTTTTAACTGCATGTGACAGGACGCTTCACGCCCCAAGCAGTCAAAATCAGGGATACAAACACTTAGCTCTTTGTCCTACGTGACTGTGTACAGTAGTGTGCCTCTAGCTTTATTTTAATCTGTTGATGTTCATTGGAGCAGATTGCAGACACTCCGAAGTGTACCTCTTCTCACTCTCTCTCTCTCTCTAAATACGACTGATAAAAATGCCATTTAAGGCTTTGACAGAGCATCTCATAGGGAAGTGATGCACACGAAAGCTTGTGCCCAGAATTAAATTTTGTTGGTCTTAAAGGTGCCACTGGACTCAGACGTTGCTCTACCTTTAACATGAGTTTGGGTGAGCACTCGCAAGCCTGCTGTTCATTCCCAAGCCTCAGACCATCTGTTGATGTAGTAGGAAATACACAGTATAGATTGTATCTTCCCTTAGCAACTTTATTTTAATTCAGGTCCCGTTTAGATGTGAGCACCGGCAGCTTTCAGTAGACCTAACTTGTTGCCTTAAGCCAAAAGAATAGTTCCTTTTAGATGTACTACTCCCCCCCCCCCCAATAAATAGATGCACTACTCCCTGTGCTATTGGTCTGCTCTAATGTATTGCTCTTGCTCATTTAGCCCCTGCTGTTCCCACCCTTTCTGCTGGTGCTTCTGAAGCACCCACAGACTGTTTTTCCCAGCCTCCCATTCAAGCACCAGGTATTTGCCCCAGTGTGTGAGACACTAACAGTATTTTGCTGTGGTATATTAATGCGGTTACATTAACCGTAAGGTTCTGTAAGGGTGGGGTGGATGTTGGTAGATGTTAAGAAATGCCAGGCTTTCAGTAATGCAAATCACGCTGCAGAATAACTTTTCCCTGAGGATGGCAAGGTCAGCATTTGTTAATGTAAGGAAGGCATTCTGGATAGGTTGGCCTTTGTGGTGCAAATGTTTGTTCTAGGAAGTGGCTACAGGGAAATAATCTATGAAACCTTGCACTGTTTTTCCAGGCTGGTGGCATTTTGTGCTCCCTGAGATGAATTTCCCAAGTGCTAGAAAATCAGCGCTCTCAATATCCTTGTAGAAATATGTGAGACTTGCATTCTGGAATCCAAGATCTAAGCCTTGACATGGCCATACTTGATGAGAATCAAGTCCCATCTGCTGTGTATTGAGCTCCATATCTAAGTTAGACCATATCTGAGTTAGAGGCATATGGATGTTCTTCTCCCAACAGAAATGTCAGTACATGTTTCCAAACTCTTGTTTTTTCTCCCAGATTAAACTTGCTGGTGTAGCAGCCTGCAGTGCAATAAATGGAACCTGTGCTACAAATGGCAAATAATCTGGTTGCCTCATTGTCCTTGTCAAAACATGTGCACTTAGAAACAAAATGACAGGTTAAATGCCACCAGCCTAGGAGCTGTACTCTGTTTCCTGAACTGTAATTGATACATATATTGATAGTACATGTTAAACTGAATAAGTACCAGTAGATGCAGCTGGGGTAGGGTTATACTTGGGAGGGGTTACAAGCCAATGACATGCTTCAAATGGCTTGATCCTACACATATCTTCTGTGAAACATTCGCACTGTCTGGAGAGTGTGGATGAGGGAGTTTTTGGCAGCAGGTGCAGCATTTTCTACCCCACCATTCACTGAACTGTGTTTCCATGTGGGTAACTCTAGATAACTCATTTTTTCCTTCCCCCATGTTTTTCTTTTCATCATTGATTCACTTTTTCTCTCCTTTAGCTGCTGCTGTTTCCAGCTCCTCCATTTCTAGTCCCTCGCACCCTTCCTCTTCATCCCACAAAGCTAACTCTCCCCTTACTGGGATCTGCCCTTTCAGTACTCCACTGATACCTGCCTCACCTGGGAAGTTATTCTCCCTAGCCTCTGTCTCCCCAGTGCTAGACATTCACGGCCCTTCCTTACCACCTGGTAATCCAACTCCCTCTGCTTCCTTGAGCACTACAGATCTAGTTGTTTCTGCATCAGTAGCTAGTTCCCCATCTCCAAGTGTGGCACAGGGTCCTCTGGCTTCTTCTGCAGTCTCAGTCATTCCACCTGAGGCTCTTGGCTCAGCTTATCTAACCTCCCCTGTAAGCCCAGTACTGACAGCCTCCTTCCCTCCTCCAGCAGCTGTTGCTTCTTCCATTGCCCTTCCTACAGTCCCACCCACAACTCCATCTCTGATTGCTCCGACGCCTTCAGCTGCACCAGTTTCTCAGATACCAGCACAGACTCCTGCTCTGGCTCCTTTCATTCTCCCTGTGGCTCCTGTTTCTCCTCCTTTGGCTCCCACTGTTCTCCCTGTCACTCCAAATCCTTTTCCTGCTCCTCCTGTCGCTTCCAAAGTCCCTGTCAGTTCTCATGCCGCTCCTGGTCTAACTTCTGCTCTGGCTTCTCATTCTGTGGACGCAGTCACAGCTCCATCTCTTCCCCCAGTTGTTCCTGTCTCTCCTCCTGCAACACCACTTTCTGTTCTTGGCCCTGAAAGTCCTTCTCCAGCTCCTGTGACTTCAGGGGCAACCATTCCTGGCCCAATAGCTCCTGTTTCACTCGGCATGTCTTTTCCTGCTCCCCAAGATGCTACATCTCAAAATCAAAAGGTACAGCCTGCTTTTCCTCTGACCCTTTCAGATGCTTCTACATCCACACCCATGAGTTCTGCTAGCCCATATCTTTCTACTCTCCCTCTTGCAGTAACCACTCCCAATCCTGTGGCACCTGTACAGGTGCTTGTGGTACCTGCTTCCTGCCCCTTGGCCTCAGAAGTGTGCCCTGCTGAGAAGCCATTGACACCTATGAAACTTGCTTCTCCTTCGGCAACTAGCTCTGACACCGTAGCTCTGGTAGGACCCTCTTCTAGTCCTGTGGCACCCACTTTCCAACTTGGTGCTCCTCCTTTGGCCTCTGCTTCTTCTGAAGCACCTCCTGTGGTCCCAGGAGTGCCTCCATCTAAACCAATGGCAGCCGGAGTGTCCCCTGTGACATCTGCTTCTTGCCCAGTAGTTGCCACCATGGCATCTTCTTCCCAACCAATAGCACCTGCTCTCTGTCCTCTGTCATTGGCTGGCCCTGCTTCTTCAGTCCCTGTGTCTGGCACTGCAGCGCCAGCAGTGCTTGCTTCTAGTCCTCTGTCACCTGTTTCCCCATCTGTAGCAACTATTTCTGGCCCTATAACTGCTCCTTTGGCCCCAGCAGGATCTGCTCCTCGAACATTGACAGCTTCATCTGGCCCTGTAGCCCCACCAGTAGTGCTTCCTTCTAGGGCTGTGGCACCAGCTTCCCAGGCTATGGCACTGGCTTCTGGTCCTGTAACTCCTTCTGAGGTCGCTGCAGGACCTGCTTCTGCACTAGCTGGACCTGCAGTATCATCTGTAAAGCCTGCTTCTCCTTTGGCACCTTCTGCCCCTGCAGCTCTAGCAGGACCTGCTCCTGTACCACCCGCCTCTGCAGGGCCTCCTGTGAAACCTACTTCTCCCTTGGCACCTATTTCTGGTCCTGTGACAAAAGTGGTGCCTGCTCCTAGTCCTGTGGCCCCATCTGAGCTTGCTCCTGCATCACTGACCCCTGCAGTGCCAGCTGTGAATTCTGCATCTCCTTTGGTACCTCCTTCTGGACCTCTGGCCCCAGCAGGGTCTGCTACTACACCACCAGCCCCTGCAGTGTCACCTGTGAAGCTCATTTCTGGCCTTGAAGCAAAAGCAGCACCTGGTTCTAGTTCTGTAATTGCATCTTGTGACCCCGTGGCCCCATCTGGGCCTACCCCTAAGCCGCCTTCTCCTCTGGCACTTGTTTCAGGCCCGGTAGTCCCTCCTGTGGCTATTACAGCCTGCCCCAAGGCTCCAGCGGTGCCTGCTTTTCAGCATGTAACCCCTTCAGCTACCCCTGTTTCACCGACGTCTCTCACTGTGTCTCCTCTGGTACCAGCCTCTAACTCTCTGCCATCTGCACTGGTGGTCCCCGTAGTGCCTGCTAGTAGTAGCACTGGGCCCTCTCTGATATCTGATCCCGTGGCCGCTGCAGCTTCTGCTGGTGGCCCAAGGGCTCCTGTTTCTGTCGCCTCTTCTGTGACCCCTGCCCCTTCTCCTTCCCCACCCGTTATCCCTACTGCTGGCCTGGTACCTTCTCCAGTAGCACCTGTCACCTCTCCTTTTACCCCGCAGGCCACAACTCCCCTGGTGGCCCCCGCTGTGTCATCTGCTGGCCCCTCTGCTCCTCCTCCCCTTATTCCAGTGACTCCTGAACCTGTCTCTGCCACCAAGCCACCCGCTGTCCCTGCTGGTCCTGCTGCTTCAGCCTCCGATGTGTCCCAGGCCTCTCTTGCCTCCTCCGTTGGGAGCGTGGTGACTCCACAGAAAACAGTGTGTCTGCCTCCTGCGTCTGCTGACATCCCTCTTTCTGCCCCAGCAGCAAATAATCTCCCCCAGCCTGCTTCACCTGCCCCTGTCTCCCCTGTGAAAAAACTAACCCTGTCCTCTGCACTTCCTAAATCACTACCAGTTTCACCCCCCTCTGGTCTAGCACCTCAAGTGCCAGCCAAACCCTCCACCCCTGCCTCTTCTGTCATCGAAGACGACGATCTGCCACCTCTGATCCCTCCAGAGGCACCTGCCGGGGAGCCACCTCTGCAGCCCGTCCTGGTGGATTTCTCTCCCAAACCAGCTGTGGCCCTTGCTGAGGCCCCAGCTGCTGCTGCTGCTACTACTACTGCTGCTCCTTCTCCTCCTCCTGCCAAACAGCCTGCCCTGAAGAATGACAAGGGTATTTGCCTCCTCCGTTTGCTGTGTGCATGGATATCACAGATTGCTCACTGAATACTAACCTCTCTGTGCGGGAAGGGGGCCTTGAGTCTCCACTCGTGTCCTCAGCTTTGTTAGCCTAGAAGAGTAGTGCATAGAAGTAAATGTAACCCACGAAAGCCCTGGCTGAGCTCTAACTAGTTATGAGCAAAGCCAGTTCAAGGCTGCTTTGTGCTCAGGGGTGATATTTATGTACAGGAGTACGTGCCACAAATGAGAAAGTTGCTACACACAAGCACTGATCATGGTGTGAGTGTCTTCTAGCGAATGTGATGTCAGCACTACCTTGACTGGAATATCTGGAATAGCGCTAACCTAGAAACTCTCATCACAATCTTCTGTGGCACCTGCTGTCTTCTTGGCCTTCTTTCTCCAATCCTTGAGCTTGTTTTGTGATTGGATAGCCAGTAGATTCTGTTTCACTAGCTGTTTGGAGTGTAATGTTCGTAGACCTAGCATGCAGTGCTATTTAGCCTTCTGTGTTTATGATGTAACACTTTGCTCTGGCACTGGGACAATAAATTGCTATTGAACATTAACATCCCTCTTCCAGTCTTAGTGTGCTTTGTCTGTAATTGCACTTGAAATTCAGGAGTGTTTCTTGATCTCGGCGGGAGCTTTTCTGTTAAATTCACATTGAACAGAATGCATGCTGAGTATTGTGCTTGGGCATCCACCAAAGATCAGAAACAGGTTTGTGGGGTTTTTTTGCATTCATCAGTCCCCTGGTAAAATAGTCTGATGCACATATGACTGTTGGGGAAAGTATAGGGGCTTTTTCTGCAAATGAAAGGACGGTCTGCCGCACTTTCTCCAGGAACATAGTTTGTCCTCTGTCACTTCCTTTATTTTCATCTCTGTGTGGTTAGTTGCGTGTGTTCTCTGATCTTCATAACAATAGCTTGACACTTCAGTAAATAAACTCTTAAACCAGCAGTAAGTCAGGAAAAAATGGGTATATGTAGGCTGCATCCAGAGATGTTAGCCTGTAATGAGCAAGAGGGAGGGTTGGTCTTGGAGGGTCCTCTCTGAAAAACCATATCCAAGTATGTAGTTTGCCTTCACATGTTAATCACAGTTAGCACTAAATAAATGTGTGAAACTTGGATTTGGAGGCAGTCCAGATTAGTGTTACCCATAGTTTGCCCTATTTGGATAGCATGGGAAATCAGGGCTGTTGCAAACCACTGGGGAGGGGGTAGCAACACAAGGAAGCGCAGTCTTCTGTTACCGCTTGCCAGTCCGTGGTTTACATCTCTGGTGATGATCTGCATTGAGCTGGAGTGTACCTGCCACTCTCCTTATTGCTGAACTGCCTGTTCAGTGCAGAGGCCAAGTCTTAATCCTGTGAGTGCAAGCAAAGCTCTGCTTCCAGATGGTTTTCTCTTTCTGGGTGTTTATAAGCTTTGTCTCCCAATGCTATACCACTACACACATGTCTTCCTGGAACATGCCCACCTTCCCACTGGCTATCTTTAAAATGGAACTCACAAAACACATGCAACAAAAAAGGCTGCTTTGAAATTCTTCACTTCTGCCTGTCCCCTTCCTCACTCCCCCACCACATGTCTTATGATAAGTTCAGGCAGTGTCTGTCAGTTTAACAACATCAGAGAAATACTGACCTGATTGCATTGGTCTCAGCCTTGGGTTATATACACACGTTTTAGCAGCACAAGCTGAATAAGCCAGATCATCAGACTTTCCCTTATTATTTCTCAACCAGCCACCAGTTTAAGAAGTCCTGCAACTTCAGAGTTCCTTTCTTGTTTGTAGGTTATGTTCTTTTTTTGTGTGTATTTGTTGCTTTTACCTGTCTTGGGGAAATTATAGTAGTGTTCCTTGATACCAATGGTTAATGTGCACTGCTATAGAAAAGGAGCCAAAAATACCATGTGACCAAGTGATGAAGCCCTGCATGTTTTGCCTGGATCTGCCCTGCCACTCCTGGCAGAAACCAAGTTGGAAAAAATTATGCCTGTTTGTCTCTGTAGGATCTGGGACAGAATCTGACAGCGATGAATCAGTGCCGGAACTTGAAGAACAAGACTCCACACAGGCCACAACACAGCAGGCACAGGTGAAAGGCTTGGAGACAAGACAGAAAGCAGATCACAGTGGGTTGTGTATAATGGGCACTGGGATCTTGGAACAGACTTAACCGGTTCCATGTAACCTCCGCCAGGATGTTCCATGGACTGTGGGATTTTTAGCTGTTTTCAGGAAAACATTGTACATTGATACACAAACTCCTAGGATTTCTGTGTACTAGTGCATAGTGCTGGCAGAGGCTCGATAGGTTAGTAGAGTTCTGTAATTCTGTCCTGAAAATCCCAAGTCTAGGACTACAAAGAACAAATTCAGTGATTGTTAAAATTGTGCTTGTTTTCTTTAACATTTAATTGCACAGGATTAGGAGGAATTGGAATTTTATACTGCAAATTTATGAGAAGGTTGCTTTTTGTGAGGACACCAAGGAATGGAAATACATAAGACTAGGATGAGATGCACTCGGCAAAATTATGTTAATCCATTCATCCAGAAAGCTAGAGGTGGATTAAATTATGATAAATATCCTACCCCTGACCACCAGTCAGTTTCAATAAAAATATATTTTAAAAACTTACACTGCTTCCAAAATGTTTCAGGCTTGGGAAGTCACCAAAGGAAGATAATTCCCAGGTTAGAGAGTAGCTCAGTCTATGCATATTTTTGCAGACCTAGCCTAGAGAATAAATAATATACTTCCAGAGTGTTCTTAGTTGATACTTGAGGTTGTGCTGGAACTCAGACTGGAGTAATATCTTCACATCCTTGCAAATCTCTGTTTTCCCTGTTTGGGTTTAGAGGACTTGTAGCTTGGGTGTCGAGTGCTCCACACATGTGTACTCCTAAACCTCCAAATACAAATCTGTTATCTCATTTCTGCTTGAGAAGCGAGACCCAGGAACTCTTCACAGAGTATTTGTTGTGCCTTTCTGTTATGGTTCCCTTTAATTCCATTGTGTTTCTCTTCTGGCAGCTTGCAGCAGCAGCTGAAATAGATGAAGAACCAGTTAGCAAAGCAAAACAGAGCCGGAGTGAAAAGAAAGCCCGGAAGGTAAAATCCAGTTAATGGAAGAGGCTAATCAACACAATCTCACTGGCTGTAGCCACTCAAGCCAAGGATCAGAAGTCCTGTGTCTATTTATATTTTTTGAAACAGCATCTTCATTTTACAGAAATAGTTAAAGGAGTAACCAAATGTCATTGGCAAAGCCAGGACTCAATCCACATTCTCCTGTTTTGTTTTTCTTGTATTCTCATAAAAGGTAGTAGACAACAGGGAAGCTTTCCACATCTGTGCCATAAAAAATACAAAATGAGATTAATATACTAATACAAAACAAATCCCAGCATATTTTGAGCCTGTTGGTTTATCATCAATGAAAATTTACATTCAGTGAAGATGTTTGTTGGCTAAAGTCAGAAAAGTCCAACTGTGCTCTGTTTGGTTCTACAAGAATGTCCTCATTTTACTGGAGAAGATGTAGTAACTTAGGGTCAATAACATACCTAGAAGCAGACTCATTGCTGTGGGCTGTCTCCATGCTGCCTCCCTCTCAGGAAAGGCCTTTGCCTTAATTAAGTACAAAAAATGCTGTTTTGGCATTGCTAGTGGAGGTTTACATCCAGGAGTAAGACCTTGCATGAACATTTGAGAACTAATGGTTTATCTTCCTCCTTTTGTTTTTAAGGCAATGTCCAAGCTTGGCCTTCGCCAGGTCACAGGTGTAACCAGAGTTACGATCCGGAAATCCAAGAACATCCTGTTTGTCATCACCAAGCCAGATGTATACAAAAGCCCTGCGTCAGATACCTATATAGTCTTTGGTGAAGCAAAGGTGAGCTGAGGCCAGGAAGGCCTGGCAGGAGAACCTTAGCTGTCTTTTTGCAGCAACAGAGCAGCTTTGCTTTCCAACCAGACCTTTAGTTGCTGTTTGAGAAAGACAACGGCTGCACTAAGGCAGCTTTCTTGCTGCAAGGGGCTATACGATACAAGGGATGGGCAACTACCTGGGTTCTGAAACATTACTGAAGGCCAGGGGGTCATCTTGCTGGAATAGCTAGTATTCTAGTATTTCTCTAGTAGTACTCTAGTATTTCTAGAGTTTGTGGACACCTCTGTCTGTTTGCCTTGCTCATTGCTTCTCATGGTGTAAAGGTTAGCTATGCAACCTCTCATATCTCTTGTCATCTGACCCTATTAGATTGAAGATCTGTCACAGCAAGCACAGCTGGCTGCTGCTGAGAAATTCAAAGTGCAAGGAGAAGCTGTTTCAAATATTCAGGAAAATACACAGACCCCCACTGTACAAGAGGAGAGTGAAGAAGAGGAGGTATGCTGCACCCCTTTTATGTGGTCTCTTGATTCCGTGCTTGCAGTTGGCAGTCTTCCTTGACAGTGTCCCAGTTTCCTCTTTGAATGTTCAGTGTCCTGCTGATCCTTGCAGCTGTTTTCCAGCTGTTTTGGTCGTTTCAATTGGGAGTGAGGGAACGTAAGCATGGTCCTGGGTGAACATCCTCAGAATCATTCCAGAATCATTGTACTGGGTGCTGCATGTGTTAGATTTTTTTTAACTGTATCAACCTCAGCTTTAATGATGAAATCACAACATTTTAATAATATATTTGAAGGGAATCAAATCTTCCCTATAAAAAGAACAGTTTTTCAAAATAATAAATAGTACAGTTTCTTTTAAAAAGAACAAAAACTCTCTACGTTTTCGGTGTTCCCTACATTGTCTTCATTTCATTTAAGTTTCATTCAGGTACCCTCAAACAGACAATATACAGACTTTGCAACACACCTCTGATAGATCAATACTAGGATACTAAAAATTGAATTAAAAAAATATTTTGGGTCATCACTGCCCTATTCTTTTAAATTAAATAAAAGCTGAAGTAGCCAGTGTTTATGCAAGTTTTTTAGAACACTAAGAATGTTTGAACAAATCCTTTTTTCCCCTACTTAAACCTGTAGTGCATAAGATACCAATAAAAGACTTGAAGTAAAGAAATGCAAATGTTCAAATAAAAATTAAGATTCACATACTTTAAAATTTCCCTTTCTGGACTCAAACAGTAATTCTGAACAAATGTTTGCTATTTAAATGCAAACAATGACTTTGTCATGTATACAGTTAAAGGAATCATAGTGCCAGTTCTGATCTGTTCTTACATGCTGTATGTCAAAAAGCCTTACCTGAAGTAACAAATTACCAGAAGCAATGTTTAAAGTGAATGTAATCACAGGAATTGCACAACTGTTTGTGGCAGCATATCCTGGGTGGAGGCTTTTATGCACAAGTGGGCACAGTAAAATGTAACTGCTTTCATTACAGCAGGGCTGTTTGCTGCCACAACAGAGGAACAGTAACCTAACCTGGCCTATGTGTGTGCCACAGTACTTGTAGGGAACTTAACTGATCTATAAGCATCCCTGTACCACCATAAAATGTAGTGCCACTGTATTCCCAGTAAAGTCCCATACAAAATACTGCAATATTATGTGGGAAAGAAGTATAAAATTGGTAATGAGAATGTGATCACTTATTGTACTGTTAATGCCTCAAAACACCAAGACTGTCGTTGCTCCTGTGTAATGAGCATGTGTTAGAAATAAGGGAGCCAGCGGTTGTCTCTTCTTATACATGGAATGGAGGGGAAGTGAGACAGATTCAGTGGGTGCATTTTTAGTACAAGGATCCATTTCATTACTAGTCATGCATGCCTTATAAAATACTAGTGACTATAATTGTAGTGGGGCTTGGAAAACCTCGCCCTCTGTGGAATGAACTAGCACACAGATAGGCTAACAAAAGGGAACAACTTTCAAAAGTAACCATTCGAAGTTTGCATTTTACAGGTAATGTTATTAACCTTGCACATTTCACTGAAGACAGGCCATTTCTTTGCCACTCTGGTAAACAGGAATAAGCAGCCCCCAGTATCTGCAGAGGCCAGGCCAAGGTGTTGTATTTGAACTTTGAGCAGGTACAGAAAGTATGCTTGCTGTCCTGCAGCTTTTTTTGTGCTGCTCAAGCTGCAGAGTGTGCATATCTGGCAACGCAGAATTTATTATGAAGAGTAAGGGAATATCTGTTTAGTGCTGGAGCTTTTATTCAGCTATGTCTGTAGCTGTCATTTTCAAATATTAGTGAGATATTCCTCTGATTTGTACTTGTGCCTCTTTAATACTACACTCCACTGTTTCAGCATATCTCCCCCCCCCAAAAAAAGTGTTACAGTAAGGTCACACAGTGCTGCTGTGATTTTTGTCTTAGCAAATAGAGGATTGAATGACAGCAGGAGAGTGAGTTTGATGTAGTGGTTAGGAGCATGAACTCTTATCCGGGAGAACCAGGTTTGATTCCCCACTCCTTCACATGCAGCTGCTGGTGTGACCTTGGGTCAGTTACAAGTTCTTTCAGAGCTGTTCTCTCACTCAGCCCCACCTACCTCACAGGGTGTCTGTTTTGGGGAGGGGAAGGGAGAGGAGACTGTAAACTGCTCTGAGACTCCTTCAGGTAGTGAAGGGCAGGGTATAAATCCAATCTCTTCTTTTTCATCTTTCCAAGTTTATCAGTTTGTGTAGAGCAATAACCTGGGTTTCCTTGACCTTTCATTACAGCTACTGGAAATCTATAGGTTGAATGAGAGTTTAAGTTTATTCCACTTCTTCCTGCTCAGCAGAAAGAGACTTGAACAGTTGCTCTGAGAAATAATCATTCTCTTCCCATCCAGGTTGACGAGACTGGTGTTGAGGTGAAGGACATAGAATTAGTTATGTCCCAAGCGAATGTTTCCCGTGCAAAAGCCGTCCGCGCGCTGAAGAATAACAGTAATGATATCGTAAATGCTATTATGGTAAGTTCCCAATTAAGCGAGGGGAGGTTAGGGGTGTGCATTTGGCAATAGCCGAACCAGAAAAATACCTTGTCGGTGATCTGTATTCGGCTACCGATATAGCTGAACTTTAAAAAGCTGATGTTATCTGGCTTTTTTTTCAGGTTCATTTTGCTATACCGAAAAAAGGTCAAACCTAACAGCCTGAGCTACCAGTCAGCTGTTGGGTTTAAATGCCTTTCTTTCCCTTCCCGAGATTGGGGAGGGAAAGAAAGGCATTTTAAACATGCTGGGGCTCCCTGCCTGCCCTTCTCCAGCTACCCCATGTCAGGGAAGGCAGAGAACAGAGACTTCCCCTTGTCAATTTCACTCACAGCTGACTGGTGAGGAGTGAAATGGACAAGGAAATCAGTTGGAGCTACCAGAGGGAAAGAAGGCATTTTAACATGCCTCCTTTTCCTCTGGTGGTGTATATCAGACCCGAATATATTTGGGAATACCAAATATTTCCCCAGTCCAAATACTTTACTGGTATTGGACTGGGGAAATTCGGCATTTACCGATATTTTCTGGGTCTGACTTACCTGAAGCCGGAAAATACCGGCATTTATTTTTTTTGCACACCCCTAGTTTTTTTACTGAGCCAATATACCTGGATCCAGTGAATACATGCAAAAGGGGCATTTTATTCAATCATTTCAAAGAATCAGCTCCTTGGAAAATACTTCATTTGTCTTCTGTCTTGTCCTATTGCTTAAACATAGAAAGCCACAGCATTGTGACAAGAAGACAGAAGACAAAAGAAGTAAGCTAGTTCAATCACTTAACTACCTCTGAACACTGAAAGAATGCTTGAAAATGTGCTGCTTCCAGCATTACATTTTAACACTCGGAAAAACATTTCTTAAGAAAAATTATTGCACTGATTCAGTCCCAGAAATTGGTTTGGCTAAGTGGGCCAAATTCATTCACTGTCAGACAGGCATGTTGTATTTTCCAATGGTATTTGCATATGGTGTTTGGAGAGGTGGAGGTTAAAAGATGTAACATCAGCAAATATGCGCTTTAAGGCTTCTGTGTCCAAGTGGGTAGCAGTGCACAACATTGTTCTAGACTGTAAGGCAAAATGAGTTCAAGGTCATGTGTGTTCTGCAGTTTTAACTCCCCATGATTTTGGGTTGCGAAGAAGCTGTGAAGTATCTTGCTGGAGATAGCAAGTCTTGTGTGTTAAGTGCCATTAAGTTGCTTCTGACTTACAGTAACCCTGTGAATTAATGTCCTATTGTAAGCAGTCATTCTCAGGTCTTGCAAACTGAGGGCCGTGACTTCTTTTATTGAGTCAATCCATCTCATGTTGGGTCTTCCTCCTTTCCTGCTGCCTTCAACTTTTCCTAGCATTGTTGGAATGAATAGGGAGCCTAACACCTCTTTTTTTCTTTCCTTTTTTCCAGGAATTGACGATGTAACCACACAGAAAGGGGAACCTTTTTGGTGTTTCAGAGGAAAGTTAAATTGCTGTTAAATTCAAAATTTGTACTATTTCTATCAATTAATAAAAGTTGTGGTTTAAAAGAGTCCTTGTTTTTTTTCCCCCCTGACAAGAAGTTGGATACCTATATTCTAAAGGTTTTACTTTGGTTGATATTCCAGGTCTGACATTCTTTCAGTGCTTTGGCCTATTTACCAAAAAGCTTGCTGCTAATTCTTTGAAAGCCTGTTAACCTACTCAAGTGCCAGAGAGCACTTGAGCTTGGCGTGAATGGTTTTTTATAGGCAGTGTGTCTGTGCGAGTTTTGTTTCTGGCTCTGAAAAGCTAAAGTTATTGTCGATTCAGTGCCAGTGCTTCTAGTGCAGAAATGTCCTGTTAAAGATCTGTCTCTCTCTCATATGTACATATGCGCAGGGAAGAATTGAATAGTGCTGTGTGAGGAACAATTTGTTCTTCAGTTTAAGTGAGCCAAAAGATAATGTTTGCTACAAGTTCAGAAGGTTTGGTTGGCATGAATCCCCTTCACTAGAGCTACCTCATATTTGGATCCTGCTGTTGCTTATTACTGTTTATATCCGCATACATTCAGAATTTATAGACAGAATCCCGTTACCAACAGCAGAATAATTTCATTTCTTAAAATATTGATAAGCAGCTTGGCACTACAGTCTACATTTTTTCTATTTTCTGTTAAATCTCTTGTACATAATTTCCTGATGGAGAGACCTAAAATATTTCCCTTTAGAAGGGAAAGCAGCTGGGAGGGGTAATTTTCAATGGAAAAGACACTGAGAGAAGGTTCTCTCCCCTTACTGATCAAATATTCATGATTAAAACCAAAAGAAGCCTCAGGAGGTTGCGGTACAAAACCACAGGGCAGAGAAACATACAAATGCACATCGTGTGTAATTTATGGGAATGAGAGAATGACCTAAGACTTAGGGTGGGAAGAGAGGAAATCATCCATGCCTTTGTGACTCAGGTGTGGGAGATATAGCCATCTATATGATAAGAGAACACAATGTGTTTGTCCAGTGGCTACTTTAAAATTGGCACTAGTAAAATTTGTTCATTGATGATTTGGAATTGGGAGTAATCCGTGAAGTGGCTAACTTTGTGGATGACACTAAGTTGTTCAGGGAGGTGAGAACCGAGGAGAACTGTGAGGAGCTCCAGAGGGATCTGTCAAATGTGGGTGAGTGGGCATCACGTGGCAAATGAGGTTCAATGTGGGCAAGTGCGGAGTAATGCACATTGGAGCCAAAAATCCTAACTATGAATATATGTTGATGGGGTCTGAACTGGAGATAACTGACCAGGAGAGAGACCTTGGAGTTGTGATAGATAACTCACTGAAGATGTCAACTCAGTGTGAGACTGCAATAAAAATGGCAAATACTATGCTGGGGATTATTAGGAACGGGATTGACAGCAAATCAGCCAGTATCATAAAGCCCCTGTAGAAGAAATCTATGGTGCAGCCTCATAATACTGTCTACAGTTCTGGTGACTGCACCTCAAAAAAGATAGCATTTGGAAAAGGTACAGAAAAGGGCAACCAAATTAATCAGGGGATGGAACACCTTTTAATGAGGAAAGGCTAAAGAGTTTAGGGCTCCTTACCTTGGAGAAACAACAGTCGAGGGGTGACATGATAGAGGTTTACAAAATTATGCATGGGACAGAGAAGGTAGAGAAAGAAATACTTTCCTCTCTTTCTCACAATACAAGAACTCATGGGCACTCAATGAAATTAATGAACAGTAGGCTTAGAACAGATAAAAGGAAGTATTTCTTCACCCAAAGAGTAATTAACATGTGGAATTTACTGCCACGGGAAGTGGTGGTGGCTACTAACAGCTTCAAGAGTGGATTAGATAAACATATGGAGTAGAGGTCCATCAGTGGCTATTAGCCACAAGGTATAGAAGGAACACTTGAATCTGGGGCAGTGATGCTCTGTATTCTTGGTGCTTGGGGGGGCAACAGTGGGGGGGCTTCTGGAGTTCTGGCCCCACTGGTGGGCCTCCTGATGGCGCCTGGGTTTTGGCCACTGTGTAACAGAGAGAGTTGGACTGGAAAGGCCATTGACCTGATCCAAAATGGCTTCTCTTATTTATGGCTTACAGACCTCAAATGGCTTTAATTAACTACAGTTTAACCATCTGTGATTAATTGAAAACTTCAGGAACTTTGTAAGCTAGCATCGGGTCTGGTGCTGTCTGGTCCCTTTCTTATGTAAATAAAAGTGATGCTGTAGGTTTAGTCATTTGATTTGCCACATTGACTCTCGAGGCTGGGCGAATGGGCATCAGTGTGGCAAATGAAGCCCAACAGCAGGAGACTCTAGATGCAAAGTCCCCCCTTCTCCTTTTTGCAAAGCAAGGAAGACTGTCTGCAGTCCTAATGGAAGTTAACACCCTTCTGAGTTCGTTTAAATTAACAGACTTGGAAGAGTAGCTGTGCTTAAGATCAGACTGTATGCGTTACAGCAAAATGAATGAAGCTGGCTTTGGATACCTTTGTAGTGCTCTGAGTGTCCAAGCTCAGGGCCGTTTTGTACTTCACTGTAAAAAAACAAAACTATGCAAAAAGAAAAGCTGGATCTTGTGACATGTACAAATTGAGCAAATTTTGCATTTGTTATTCTACACAATTTTGTTGCTTGTGCTGTTTTGCATAATGATGGTTTTGCTGGTCTGAGGGAAGAACACATTACTATGCAGGCTACTTTTGCCCTGTCAGCTACTCTTGTGAGATTTCAGCAGGCATCGTCCATGTATTTTGATGCAAATATTCTCATTTGGTGAGAAGAGGACATCCTGACATTTGCATACTCCTCCTTCAGTGGGGAAAGTCATCAAAGCCGGTTAGGTCACACCTCCACTCGCTTCTGGTAAGGCTATGCAGATTTTTGTGAGGACTCCTATCGAAGCTATCGAAGGCTGATCCTCCAGTTTGGACAGCCCTGCTGCTCCTGTAGGTAGTTAAGAGCTCTGCTCCATGCCAAACTTCCATAGATTGACTACTTACCTGTCATAATTAGGACGAAGAATGGAGTCCACAGATTTAGCTGAGGAGGGGCCATCAACAGCCCGTTTTCTTTAAGAAAATTCTTTGGGGAACAAAAAGAAGGAAAGCGGCAGGGATAGGCCCCCTGCACGCCCAAAGCTTTGGGTAGCAGAGAGGGAGCTTTGGAGATCCTCCCTGAGAAAACGAAATGAACGATGTCGGGAGAGCAGCCCAAAGCTTCAGGTTGTGATCTCTTCCCCACGCCTTCCAGACAAGAAGCAAGTGCGCTCAGAAACACAACTCCAGCCACCCCGGCAAGCGCCAGCTGCTGCGGTGTGGCTTTTCTGAGCACAGGAGATCTTTGCACAGTGTGGAACCGGTTGGAAGGCCCCTACAGAGAGGTACCACCCGTCGCTGACTGTAATAGGGGAGACCAGGTCTGACCCTTCCCTGGGTACGTGGGGGAGTTCAAGGATTAATCTTCCTTGGGACCTGGCAGGCTTCTCTACTCCTCATCATTCGGCTGTGTGGGTAGAAGCAAACATGGCTACGGGGCCATTTTTCCCTGCGCTTTTCCAGCTGAACATGGACTGGCTGCTGCAGGCTCTCAGACCCCACCCCCCAGTCTATACCAACTTCTTGGGGGAGCCCCATATGGAAGCCAAAGTAGCTCTACAGCACCAGGCTACTCCTTTTTACCATGGCCTCCAGCGGATGTAAAGCATCCATCAGAGTCAGGCAGAGTGCTAGATCTCGCTGCGGGCCTGTCCCCCCCCCCCCAACTCACCAGCTTCATTGGCCTCAACCACCATCTAAGTGAGCCAGATCTACCATAGGGGGCAAAATGCACTGCCTCACACTCTTCTGATGCTTCTGAAAATGAGGCTCAGGCTCCTAGATAACCACATAACACTAAGAGGCCCAGGTCTCAGCAATCAGTATCCGGGGCCAAGAGGATATCACAGCGGCCACCTTCTCCTGAGTGAGAGTTCAGAAATTCCTGGTTGAACCTGCCCTCTGCAAAGGGAAATTCGGAAAAAGAAGAAGGGGAATGGTTGGGGAAGGAGATGGAGGTAGGAGAAATTTCTTCCAGACTTTTCCAGACTGAACATTTCCAATGCCTATTAAACAAGATGATTAGTACTCAAATATTAGAAGTGCTAGAGAAGCTAAAGTCCTCCGTCTCTGCCAACCTAGACAGTAGAAGATTTATATGTCCCACCAGGGTTCAAATAGCCTCTCCCCAGATTTTTTCAATGCTGTCATCAAGGCAGAGTGGGCCATACCACGTGGCAGCAACTCATTGACCTCCATAGCCAAGAAGTTCTGTGTGCTTATAGCCAACGTCATGGAGGATCTTAAAAGTTCCACTGGTGGATGTCCCAATGGTTGCACTGCACTCTGAAGCCGTTCTACCTAAGGATGGTGAGAATGTGCTCAAGGACTCAGTGGATAGAAAGAATGAAGTGGCGCTAAAGAAGTCTCACAAGGCATTGTCTTTAGCTATCAGAGCCTCCACAGTGTTACCAAATTTTACCCGAGCCATCATCATCTGGGCAGACAATCTGTTACAGAATCCAGACACATCTTCCCTGGACCTCAAGAGATCCATACTAAAAATGAAAGGGTGGTGAAATTAATTTCCAATGCTTCCCAGGATGCAATCCAATTTTGTGCCGGGGCATAAGCAGCAAACATAATCAGGACAAATATTTGGTTAAAACACTGGAAGGTGGATCCCCTATCCAAGAGCAATCTCTCATCAGATAAGTTTTTGGGCAGACTTCTTTTTGGCAAGTCTATACAAAGTCCTGGTCAAAACAAAGGAAAAGAAGAAGGCAATACCATCGACCTCAGTCAAGAGAGATAAGGATGCGAAGTCCAAACCTCATCATTCCTTTTGTTGCTTTAGATCATTGGTGTGAGGAAGGGACACCAAGGACTTCAAAGGTTTCAGGTCCTTTGGATACAGACCCAGGACCCAGCAAAGACCACCACCAACCTTCAGACAAGGTAAAAATCTGCCAGCCAAAAAACTCTGTCTGACTACCTTTT